TACAGCCCACTTCTTCGGATGCATGCATCCGAAGAAGTGGGCTGTAGTCCACGAAAGCTTATGCTCTAATAAATTTGTTAGTCTCTAAGGTGCCACAAGTACTCCTGTTCTTCTAAATAAAAGCATTTAATTGAAACCAGAGACTCCCTATTCCCACAGGAACACTGTACCACACAGTGAAATCAATGGAAGTTTGGCTCACTTAAAGTTTCTTATAAGTAATTTTCTGTGTAGGTTACAGAGCAGCTTTGATTGTAAGAAAGTCAAGTTTCAATACCACAGTTTTTCTGACCATGTGCCTGAGCCAATCTCAACAGATCAGGAAATATAGGCATCCTCTTCTTCTTAACATATGTTGTTTTTTTCCAGTTTGACAGCTGGCAACAGTGTAAATTTAAACCTATACATTTTGCACAAGAGCTTGGGCCAGACTAAAATGGCTTCCATAGCTTCTGATTCATGGGAGCACCATAGGCCTTGGAGGCTACACAGCTGCAAAGGCTGAATCTGAGAGGATACTGCCTCCTCAGTAGCAGCCACCTAGCATAAGACCAGAGTAAGCAATTTCCAGAGCCTGTCCCCTTCCCAGGGGTGAAGCCAGACTCAACCTACCCCATTCCCTCAGGCTCAGTCAGTCTGTTAGCATCGAACTGATTCACAGTATTAGTAAATGTGTGGAATTCAAACTATATACTCTGGGCTCAATCCCACAAGTAAACTTCAAATGGAGCTCTCCATGGTTTCCCTAGGAATTCTACATATGGAAGGCTTTCAGGATCAAGCCCTAACTCTACCAAGCTACTTTCATGTTCCCAAAGAGCCTTGTTCAGCGTTTACCTTTTTCTGACTTCTATGGGAACTCTGTCTGAGAAAGGGATGCTCAATTGGGCACTTAAATTGAAATCAAGGGAAATTTGCCAGGAGGTTTCAACACTATTTTTACAATAAAAATGGGATTCAGTTTTCAAAGCAATTCTGAGAATTCACAGCATGCCATTATTTATATCACATTACTGTAAGTAAATGAGCCTTTAATACTCCTAGGGTAAATGTCACCCTTGGGCAGAGGGCAAATGCAAGGCCTATATGCCACTGAAGTGAGACATAAGTTGTGCATAAGTCTCATATTACCACTCTGTCCAGGGGCAATTTTACCCTGCTAAGTCACTAATACAATACACTAACTTTTTACTTAATTTTATTTTATGTAAGAGTTAGCACAGCACTTGCATCATTGACACCAAAATGGCTGACTGAAGATTTTCCTAATGTGGAAAACAGCAGTGTGGTAAAGTCACTCCAGGTAACTACTCAAAACAACATCCCAGTTGTTTTCATTTTTCTATACAGATCAACTTTAACTCCACATGCAAAAAGTCATAACAAATAAATACAGCCCAAAGTGAGAGAAATCTTCTCTCTCGGATAGATATGCTCTGGTTCAACCAGGAATTAATTCAGGGAAGTACTATGGTCTGTGTTAATAGGAGGTCAGATTAGCTTATAACAATCATCCCTTCTGGCTTTGGAATACACAAATCTATTTGAAACAGGTTATGCTGTGGTTATGGGTCATGGCTCACCGTGATTCCACAGCAAGCACTGTGACATTCTGGAGCGGCTCTGGAAATCAGATTGCAAGCTCTTGGGGGCAGGAACTGTCGTCATCTGTGTATGCATGTACAGTGCCTAGTACCATCGGGCCCAACCTGGTTGAGATCTGGAGACTCTACTGCAACCTAAATATTAAATAATAGCACTACAATCAGGACTGGCCCTGAAGTGTGTTGAAAAATATTCAGGCACACTCACATGTTCCCTTTCCTCTTCCCCTCTAGTTCCCTTTGCAGAGGTGGTTAAATGATGGTGTAACATGCTAACAAAGAGACTGAAAGGGAGAACAGTAAGGATAGGTGAAATGAGTAGGATTTTGAATCTGCGCTCCTGTCTCTTTCTTAGGAAACAGCAGTGACATTTCTACCATTTACAAAATATTGTCTATTTGTTAATTTTATTTTTATTTTTTTTTCAGGAAAAAAGTGAGTTAACGAGTAGCAATTCCACCCAGTTGTTCTTGGATAATGATGATCCAGTCGTTACGGAAGTACTAGAGACATCACTGCAGGAGGAGTGCAAGACCACAGACACCAAAAAGGGAAACAGAAAAGTGCCCACTGAGCATATGGCCATCTCCCAAAACTCACTGCTTGTCAGTGCTCTAGTCACTGAGCAGAACAATGGATATAAGCCCCAGGTTTCCAACAGAAGCCCACTGGGAAATGTATTTAGTAATACTTACGAAACACAGTCCCAAGCACTGGATCCAAACACGTATCTCTCAAGCCAAGATACACATGTTTTGTTAAAAGATTATACAAGTCCTATTACTTTCTTGTGGAATGCTGAAGGAACTGGGAGCAATACATTTTTACTTGAGAAGTTTAACCTCATTTTAAACAACAACAGAAGTGGACAGAGCAACATTTTCAGTACAACAGATGAGGAACCTAATACACTTTTGGAAAACCAGTGGAAAAGTCCACCGTCCACTGAAAATGTTCAAGAGCAGACGTTAGTTCCAGATGAGTTGGTCTCTTGCTTAGGAGCTGTGACTGAAGAATCCATAGGTATAAAGTCCTATTTTCCACAAACTGTTGGAAAACTATTTCAATAGAAATAATTGTAATAAAGAAATAATACTATTTTATGGCCATGATACATCTATCTCTCTGAATTTCCAAGCATCAGAACTGAAAAACTAATTCAAAATCTGAAGTTCATTTTCTTAAATTGAATCAAAAGACTTTCGGATGAGATAAAACACTTTGGGTCCTTAAATCACTAATCATTTGTAGTCATTAAATTCCCTTGGCTTTTCAGAAGAGTAAGTATATAAATCAGGTGCCCTAGAGGAATTCAAATTTAGGGTATTATATCCTGCCTGCTTCTATACTCCTTGCAGTTCTAACTGGATACAGAATTCTTCTCCTATCCTAAATCTTAAGTCATTCTCTAGTTAAATAGTTGCAATAGATACGTTTCACTCCAGAGCTGGTTGCATTTTAGTGAAGGATAAAATTATCCCTATATCTATTAGCTGAAGTTTGTAAAATATCTTGGGATCATTAGGGATGTAAAGGCACTACATTTAAGATTATTTTTATATATTGTATAATACAGGCCTGGAGGCTGAAATCACAAAATCTTTTCCATACAACTGAAAATCCATATTCAATTGTCACTTCCATCCTGTAATAAGAACAGAAGAACTAGCCTTCAGCACACCTTGCCCTGCCCAGTTGACTTAAAACATCTTTCTAGACTTGCCACAAAACAACTTCTTCATACTAAGTTAATGGGAACAATGTTACCAATTTACCACAATCACCTCCCCTCCACCAACTTCTCACTTCCTCATCAATTATTTTCTTTTAGTCCAGCGTCAGTGTTCTGAGTGACCTGCAACGTGGCAATGAGAACGTGCATTAGGTATGTTGCAGGGAATACAGATTTGTTGAAATCAAGATAATGAAAAGCCAGGCCTCTCTTTTCTGATATGTACCTATGAGGATGGCCTGGACTGCTATCATGGAAAATTCAGCCTGTGCTTTTAGAGATATCACACAGCATTCCCTAGGCATTCTAAAACTTATTTTGAATGAGACAGGGTTGTATCATTGTGTTTAATATTTTTATTTCACATGGTGAGTCAAAACTTTTTAAAAAAACACAAACACATTGGCATGTGTTTTAGAGACTTAAATATGACAGTAAAGGGAGTTTAAATAAATTCTTTAAAAGAGTAATTCCACAGAATTTCAAATAATTTTGTAATTAATAGAAAGTGTCAAATTTTTATATCAAACTTCCAGCAGCCCATTCAAAAACTGACTTGGAAACGTTTGCTTTCCTAATCGTTACTTTCACTGTCAGCTCTTTGGCACAGGGACCTTCATTTGGTTCTGTGTTTCTACAGCACCTCGCACAGTGGGGTTCTGCTCCATGACTAGGGCTCCTAGGTGCTACTGCACTACAAATAATAAAATAAGAACAATATTTTAATACCTGTAATTAAAATAAAAAAGTCTTTGTTAAGCGCCAGGTATGGACCTACAAACATCATCCAGTATTTAATTACACTGCTGACTTATCATTGTTATATTAAGGTTTTTAGCCATCCAGGTACTCATATCCTAAACTATCCTGCTACAAACAGCATGTTACTTGTGAGATGTCTAGTTCCACCTATGGGCTTGTTTTAAAACACTATCCTGAGGCCTGGTCTACACTACAAAGTTAGGTTGATGACAGCAGCCTTGCATCAACCAATTCATGCATGTGTCTACACTCAAATTTGTCTCCCACTGATGTAAGTGCCCCATTCTGGTGATGCAGTAACAGGACCTCCCTGGACAGCCTCGAGTCCTGGTTGATGTACTGAGGTTGATGCAGAGTGAGTGTAGACCTTGCATGACCTACGTCAACCCTACTAATCCTCTAGCTGTGTTTTTCAACCTCTTTGCAGTGGTGCTGGAAAATAATTTTTAATAGTGGGGGTGCTGAAAGCCAGCCCCCTTGCCCCTGTCCACACCCCTCCCCCCCAGAGCTGGGGCTGGGAGCAGGGCTGTGTCTCTGGGAAGGGGGGACCCAGACAAGGGTAAGGGGGCCAAGACTGGGGCCACAGCTAGGGGTGGGCCAGGGTCGGCAGCCAGGACCCTGTGTAAAACCTGGGGGTGCTGCAGCACCCCCTGCACCCCTACTTCCCACATCTATGCCTTTTTGATACTAGGAACCGGCTTGCTGCCTTCCTAAACTGTGTCAGGGAGATCTCAGGGACGGCACCAGTCCTCAGATCGGTCGTTGAGAAACACTGCTCTAGTGCATGCCTGACACTGAATGCTCTGGTCACAATTGTGGACTTCATTGCCCAGGGGTCTTGGAGACCAGAAGCCACTCCCCACCTTTGGAAAACATTGCATATTTTTGAAATGCTTTTCCCTGATTGTCCAGCATGGTGAGTGCCCCAGCAATTCTCCCATGCTAGGTACAACTGCCCACCCAACCATGCCGGTCACATCTTCTAGACATGCTCCTGCCTGTAGTAGACAGGAGGTATTGGATCTCCTGGGCCCCTGGGGAGAAGGGACTGTTCAGACACAACTAAGGAGTAGTCATAGAAATGTGGACATCTACAAAAAGTGAAGAAACTGTGGCAGGCATACGATGAGGTCAGGGAGACCAAGAGTTGATCTGGTGCTGAGCCACAGACCTGCTACTGTTACAATGAGTATGGCAGAGTCTCCACCACCACCCCTTAGACCACTACAGATACCTCCGAGGAGCCCAAGACATAGACCCTGGCCATGAATAGTGACAAGGAGGAAAATATGGGCTATGCAGGGAGCCAGAACCTGTTTGAGACTCGACCACATTCTTGCCAGTCCCACCAGCCAATCACAGATGAGCCCGATGCAGGGAAAGGAAACTTGGGTAAGCGTGTGTATGTATTTTCCCATTACAATGTTTAAATGGAAAGATGGTGCCTGGACCATCCCAGGTTCCCAAAGACACATGTATCAACTTTTCATCAATTTACTTGTGTGAGAAAAGGTTGCAGTGCAACAAACTGAGGTAGAGTTGTTTTCATTCCCCTGTAGCATTAGGTGGGGTTGAGTCGGGAGGACATGCAGAGCAGTTTGTTGATATACATAAGGATGTCCCTGGTATCCTCCTAAGAGATCTCGATGAAACTTTCATGGAGATACTCTGTGAGGTTTCTAGGGATGGTTGCCTTATTTCTTCCTCTGTAGGAGGACACTTTCCCATGCTACTCCACGAGGAGTTCAGCTGACACCGTTGTCAGGCCCTCTCAGAGGTCCAGAGAGGCCCGGGCCACTTCCAGTTTTTGAGGCCCCAAGCTATAATAAAAATAAAAAATGACGACACATGAAAACAAAATAAGGCACACACAAAAAAAAGACATAATTTGAATATTTTTTTTAATTAGCAAATGCTTTTCTAGTCTTTTTCTGTGCAAATGCACTAATTATTGAAGAAAAATCTAGCTTTCATGCAATGTCACAGTTGATATTAAGCATGGCAAGCCCATTCAAATGCTCTTGTCCCATAGTTGAACGGTGATAGTTCTTTACCTGTTTCAACATGTTGAAGGTGCGTTCACCTGAAGCCACTGATGCAGGCAAACTGACAAAAATACACAATGCAATTGTGATATTAGGAAACACTCCAGGGAGTCCAAGTTTGAGTATTTCTTGAAGCAATTCCTTTGGCTTGCAATCCAATTTAAAGTTTATGGAATATATTCGTTTGAGGAAGATGACCTCATCACTGAGATCTTTTGAGATTTCTTTGTTGCTGAAATTGTTCAGCTTCAGAAAGTAGATCTTCATTACTCAGTCTGTTGAACTGCCAAAGAAACCCCAAAAGGGTACAAAGTAGTTGCAGTGACTCAAATCGACATGTAAGACCTGATTGAATCGAATCAATGATAACAAGGAAGACATTGACCCTATAATGCTGCTTGGCATCGGATTCAGTAGGTAAGTTGTGATTGGTGGAGAACTCAGATGAAATGCCAATATTCTGTGCTACTAATTTGGACTCCAGGATCGCATTCCATTGTTCATGAATCTATTGAATATCATCAATAAGACTTTCAATGTTTTCCCTCTCAACATCAAGCGTAACATTGCATGCTTCAATTACCAGATTAGTTTGGTGGATTGTTGTAAGTAGCTTCATCCACAAAGATGACATCAGAATGCATTCAAAATTTGGACATGTGTTTCTGAATAGACTGAAGTTCAGTTCAAGCCTATGCAGTGAGCTTGAGAGATTCAAGCTCATTTAAAGCCTTTCTCACTGAATTCAAATGCTGCGCAACTGGTTGAACACCATCAATCCGTGCAGGTCATCGAGTTTTGGACATCCCAGGCAGTGAAACAGGAAGATATTGCTTCAGAATTTCCCACCTTTGTGGACTGCTACCGAAGAGATTGTACATTTGCTGAATAGTTCCAAAGTAAGTAATTGCTTCCTTGCATGATTCGGCACAGTCAACACCTACAAGGTTTAGTGTGTGGTTTCCACAGCTGGAGAAAATAGAGAGTTTGAATTATGCTCAAGCAGAACTGCTTGTACACCCTTGTACTTCCCAGCCATATTAGATCCATTGTCATAGGCTTGACCAATGCAGACTTGAAAATTTTAACTTAAGCAGCAATTTCTTTTCCAGTTTTTCTCGTGAAATTATCAAAACAAAATAAACCTTTCTTCAATTGAAAATTTTGAGCGGTCTACAATCTTAACATATCGAATAACCATAGTAGTCTGGTCCTTGTGAGGACAATCTGGAGTGGCATCAGCAATGATTGACAAATACTTGGCATTTCAAATCTCATCAAGCATTGTTATTTGTACAAATGACCCACATAGCTCAATAAACTCATTTTGTATGCGTGTGGAGAGATAATTGACTTGCATGCACTTTTGACTCTCTTGCGATTCTCGAATGCATTTAACATGCTCTGATAAAAGTGGGTCATATTTGCTGAGGAGCTCAACTATACCTAGAAAGTTTCCATTTGCATGATCACCAATACATTGACTGGAACCAAAGAAAGCCAATCCCTGCTCAGAAAGAAAGGATGACATTCAGGATGCGCTCAAGAAGTTTTTTCCAGTTATT